GGATTTAAAACAGCGAGCTGTTTTAAACCTCATACAGATCGCCCGCTCATATTGTATATTACTTATGAAACGTTGAGGTAAACTAGCTCAGGTTTTAAAGAAACTTTTGAAAAAAAAATCAATCTGACCGAGAAAATCAGAGTTAAAGTTTATGCAAATGAACAAGAAATCTGTATGTAATATACAACTCTCTTCATGGGCTATGATTTCTATTGTGTTTTGCCTTATGAATATTAATGAGTTTTATAATGAATAGATATCGTATTCAGCAGATACATTTTGTATGAAGGATGGGGAATTCCTTAGACTTTATCTGCAGGATATGATTTTATGTGATGGATGATGCTATTTATTCTTCATACACCTTAGTCTTCTCTCGCAGCCGTTAGGACGTACATACACCTTGGCCCAGCATTAAAGGGACACTGTCAATGGCACGCATGCGCGAGTAAACTTGAAAACATTAGGCTAGTGTTTTCAAGTTTATGACTCCAAGTTGGCGCGACATAAATCAGCTYGTAAACGTAAACAGATCTAGAATATTCCAAAGTGTGTCAAAAGCACCACAAAATTATTTACCTCGAAGGTAATACTTTCAAAGTCCGTTAGAGGTGAGACTGTTACTGCGCATGTCATCCATCGACAGTGTCCCTTTAATTTAAGGGATCTCTATTAAGGGTGTGTGAAGATTAATCTACTCCACTGGTTTTTATACTCACCCCTTTTACAGCCTCAGTATGCAAAACAGGATCAGGGAAGCTTGGGTGGCACAGTGGTAATGCACTGGTTTGATTCCCGGTCCAGTACTATAGGTGGTTTGAGTTGTAAGCTGGTTCTCTCCCTTGCTCCAAGGGTTTTTCTCCAGGTCTGCTAGTTTTCCTCCCTCTAGCTATCAAAAACTGTCTGTGAGGAGTGTTGTGTAGTAAAATAATGAATAAATGTTGAGGTAGTTAGTGTGAGTGAATATATAAAGGGCCACTAGATTACTAGTCTAGAGACTATTATGTGCTACCCTCTCAAAATAAAGAGTTTATTAGTTGTATTATTATTATTATTTGTTTGTTGACAATTACTTATAATAATTACTGTAATTGAATAGTGTAAACTGTTTAGTGTAACCATAATATATACTATTGTATTAATAGGTGTCCAGAAAGCATGCTGTGAATTCCTTGAACATCAACTTGACCCATCAAACTGTCTTGGTATCAAAAACTTTGCTGAAACTCATGGATGCGAAGAGCTCAAAACAGCTGCAGAATCTTTCATACACAAACATTTTACAGAGATTGTCAAAAGTGAGGAGTTTATGACTCTTGATGCTGAAGAAGTGACAAACTTAATACAAAGTGACAATCTTACTGTAAGTGGGGAAAAGCTATGATTTGCTTCTCAGTCATTTCTCTGTATTTTTCAGCGAGGATTCAGTATTTTACTGTCCGCAATATCTAGGTGTCCGTTGTAGCGGGGTGTCCGTAGGGCGAGAGTTGACTGTACCTAATTACTACCTTTTTTTTAGGTCAGGTATCCTAGTCATTCGCGCGCTGTGATTGGCTAGCGCGCGGTCCGGTTTTTCACGATCTGCCCGGTCCAACGGTATCCTGCAGCTGGGCTGCGAGCAAAGTTGCATAAAATACAAATAAAAAAGATAAAAATGTTATTTACCGGCTATAGGTCGGTCCGTATAGGAAAACACTGCCCTCGGTCTTTTATGTACGGACCTCGCTGCGCTCGTCCGTACTGTCAAGATCTCGGGCAGTGTTTTCCTATATGGACCTCACAGCCGGTAAATCACATATATGTATTGGAGATCCAATTTGCTAAAACAAAGTATGATTTCAGGTCCCTACTGAGGAGACTGTTTTTGAAGCTGTTCTGAACTGGATCAAACATGAAGAAGACTTAAGGATGGACAACTTACCAGACATGCTGGAAAAAGTGCGCTTACCTCTGCTAACCCCACGATACTTAACAGATTGTGTAGATAATGAGGTGCGTTGACCATGGAATGGTTGCAGGCTCATGTACCAAATAGCAGGGGGCTAACTAGAAAACTTATTAGTTAATGTAGCCCTCTGGCTCTTGTTCTTTTACAAAGATTTGCATATTTTCTATACTTGTTTATCTTTTTATTACAATCACCTTTTTTTCTGTCAAGTTAAAAGCAAAAAAGAGCAATAAAACAGTTTCAGTTTCTGTACAGGGGGGCTGCGGGTATTCCAGAAACCCCCCCCCCC